TGGCAAACGTAAATCTTTCGGGTCATAGGCGAACTGTCATCAGTCGCGCCATGATGCCAGTTAGTTCACCCACCTGCTGGGCATTTAGGCGATCGAATAGTGCAAATCCGACCCCATGATCACGTGGTGCTGAAGTGGCGTTACCCACCCAGTAGAATATGGAGCCAGCCCCAGCTTTATGCAACTTACCTCGCTCAGCGAGCCGGTATCGCTGAGCGCCGCAAAATCGATGTTGTAGCGCGCCGGTTCCATTGCGACTAGTGCAGCTCATCGTTCGGGAGGCTCATTCGTAATCCGCGCACGTTCCAACACCCAATGTTGAGCGTTCTGTGGGGGAGCATACGATCGCATTGGCGGCAACCGTATGGGAGATGACGTTTTGGATTGGAGGAAGTAGTGGGTTTGGTGAAACGGGGACGGGGAGAGTACGTGCAGGGGAGGAACAAAGAAGAGAGGCGACAGCAGCAGCATGTTTTCGCTTATCCACCCCGCTGTAAGCAGCAAGTAAGACGACCCTTTTCCTAAGGCCACTGCGTGACAGCCGATGCAGCATGGATATATTATTATTGGCGTAATTGGGGGTAGTTGGACTAAGGTATTGGCAGGGCACCCACACCTGACAAGAGGACTCGGGTCCTCAGCCAAAACGTTCGATAAAATATACTCCCGAAAGGTAGCGGACCGAGGGCCATGTGTCAGTGAATCTACTCACGCGGAATTGTGTCCTGTATCTTAGTTAGAGGAAGGGTGTAACCCAAATCTCACTCGGCGGCCGCCACAAGGCGTCCAGCACATGAGCCAACAACGCAACATTAGCAGCAGCGGGTCAACGATCTGTCAGGATCTCGCCATCACAAACTTCAGCGCGTCATGGACTGTCCCCCTCCAAATATATGGTTGGCGGCATCCGGTTTCGGATTTTCCTGGCACTATGGCCAGCCATAGGACCCCTGCGCCTACAGAAGCACCATCTGTGACTTGCGTTGTACCACCTACAGATACAAGTACACACCCCATATCCGGTGTAAAACCGAAGGAATAAGACCGGGAGGCATATGGATGGGAGCCACGTTTCATCAACGGAGCTGACTCACACTCCCCCATAGACCAACACGCATGCTGTGTTTGGGAAAACACGCGCACACATGGCGATGGCTGGACCGTAGTCCGCTCCACACTGAGTGCATGGAACCATCTTTCATTCTAGCATGGCCACAAGTACCATACATCCCGTCCCCTCCAACAACGACCAATTGTCTCCTGGAGCCAGTATGGACGCGGTAATCAGCAATAGACAGGCAGGCACATTGTCAACATGCACATCAAGCGCAGCCACACCGGGATGTCAAACAATAGCCGATCACTTGAAATGACAATATCAAATAAAATATATCTATCAAAGCATGCGGATATTCAGACATAACTCTTCGCTACATTAGCATATGAAGTAAGTTGGTTATCAACGAATCCACGATAAGTAAGAAATGTCCACAAGTTACTTAAAAATGCTACAAACGCAACAAACTTACCGAAGATAAGCGCGATTAGCGTAAGCAACGTGTGCAAGTTAATAGAAGATTATTCGGGTAGGCAGAACAAACGAAATAAAGTGGAATGAAATTTATCCAGCTTAAAAACTTCTAGTATAAGGGTATGTTGGTTTAGCGGAACCGCGGTGAAGGAGCATCGTGATTGAAACATCAATCTCAGCATGGGCATAGCTTACATGTATATATATATATATATATATATATATATATATATGTATATATATATATATGGTTGGCGGCATCCGGTTTCGGATTTGCCTGTCACTGTGGCAAGCCACAGGACGCCTGCGCCTACAGAGGGACCATGGATGGCTTGCGCTGCACCACCCACAGCTCCAAGCACATACCCCATATCCAGTGTAAACCCGAAGGAATAAGACCGGAAGGCATGTGGATGGGAACCACGTTTCATCAACGGAGCCGGCCCACACTCCTTCACAGGCAAACACAAGCACACTGTATTTGGGAATCAAGCGCACACAAGGCGGTGGCTGGACCGTAGTCCGCCTCACACTAAGTGCATGGAACCACTCTTCGAGCCTAGCACGGCCACAAGGACCGTGCACACCCTGTCCCCTCCAGCAACGACCAACTGTCTCCTGGAGCCAGTGTGGACGAGGTAGTGGGTACTAGACAGGTAGGCACCTTGTCAACATGCACATCAAACGCAGCCACACCGGGGATATCAAACAACAGCCAAACACTTGAAAGAGAGAAAGAAAAAGAGAAAAACTCGATTAATGCATAAGGAAACGGTGATATAAACCTTAATTAAATAGCATATGTAATAAGTTGATTACAAACAAATCCTAGCTAAGTGCACAAGGTCAGGAAGTATAGTTCACGGAATGCCACGAACTCAAAATGTTATGGAAATCGAATACAATTGGCTTAGGCGATGTGTGCAAGTTAATGAAATAGAGTACAGGGAGATATTTATATGAGAAAGAAAGGCATTAAGGTAAAAACTGTAAACCCACCACCTGAAATAAAGAGACTTAGCATGCAAGCACGTGGTTAGTAAATCGAATTCAGCGTGCCTACAAACGCTGCGCCGGCTCGCCGTAATTCTCTGTAAGACCCGTCGTCGCTTCTGTAGTGGCCCCTAATGGCATAGCTCATGGCCCACTAGACATTTATATGAGAAAGAATATATATATATATATATATATATATATATATATATATATATATATATATATATATATATATATATATCCTGAGGCTGATGTTGCATTCTTGATGCTTCTTCACCGCAGTTGGACTAAACCAACTTGCACTTAAACTAGGTCCTTTTAAGCTGGATAAATTTCATTCCACTTTATTTGGTTTGTTCTGCCTACCTGAATAATCTTCTATTAACTGACCACGTTGCCTATACTAGTTGCGCTTATCTTCGATAACTTTGTTGCGTTTCTAGCATTTTTAAGTAACTTGTGGACATTTTTCCTTATCGCGAATTCATTGCTAACCAACTGACTTCATACGGTAATTTAGCGAAGAGATATGCCATCGTGTCTGTATGCATTATTCGATTTACTTTATTTCACTTATCGTTTCAAGTGATTGGTTGTTGCTTGATATCCCCGGTGTGGCTGCGCTTGATGTGCATGTTGACAAGGTGCCAACCAGTCTATTACCCACTACCTCGTCCGTACTGTCTATATACATATATATGTATATATATATATATATATATATATATATATATATATATATATATATATATATATATATCGGGCCATTCGCTGATATTGGTTACATACTTAGGTTGGTTATACGCTGGTTCCCAATTCCATTTACTAACTCAGGCCACAAATACGGTCGATGTGTTACATGTGCTACATCATCGGTGTATTGGGTCTGTACGTGCGCACGCATGTTAAGTTTTTGGATTTCGTGTGTTGGCTGTGGATTGATGTTCCCGTTGCGGCTGCTCTTGATATGAATGTTGGCAAGATGCCTGTCTGTCGGGAAACGCCACCTCCATTATACTGACTTTAGGATACAGTTTGTCGTTGTTTGGGTGCACGGTCCTCGTTCTCGTGCTGAGCTCAAAGAGTGATTCCATCCAGTTTGGACCGGGCCACGGCCCAGCCACCGCCTTGTGTACTTATGGTATGCATAATTCACAAATTTGTTGGAGTGGGATGCTGCTACTGTGCATATTGAAGGAGTGTGGACTTGCTCCGCTGATGAAACACTCCAATCTACCTGCCTTTATGTTTTATTTCTTCGGCTTTACGCTGGATATCGCTTGTGTGGATGGAGCTATGGGTTATGCGGCTCATGCCATTCATGGTCGCTCTTCTGACTCAGCTGTGCTTTGGCTGTCTTATGGAGGCTGCAGTGACAAGCAAATCCGGAATCGGATGCTGCCAACTATATCGATCAAGGCAATTTGTGTTCATCCTCACACTTTTCTACACATATTCCTTTTTTACATCATCACTTCATAATAGCCCTCGCTCTTTCAATGGGTCGGCGCATCCTGTTTCTCTGCCATCGTTTCACGCACCAATCTCACTCCACCCGGGCGATCGAGATAGTCTCCCTTATCATGGTAGTGATCACCTTTTGGAAGTAACGAACCGGGTCACAATCTGAGCAAATTTGCCAATCGTACGTTGACCAATGGAACTTTGTAATTAGTCTGATCATGCATAATTGTTCGTCTGTGCGGATTCGTTGATTAAGTGGTAAAGTTTGGTACGCCCCAATCAGTACCCTGGATTTTATATTTGGCTGGACAAATGTGAAGGTAGTCTTGTGTTACATCGCAACAATGACATTATTGTTTATAAGTGGGACGAAACCATAAGTGAGTGCGTGTATACCATCTCTTTCACTAATTTATCGTGTCTCTGAAATACTGACATCACATCAATGTGCCAACATTCTCAATCGACGGTTCGACTTTCTGCGACTATTTGCAATTTTCTTCTTCCTTCTGCGTATATTGGAAATAATTGCTAATCGGAACTTTCAGTAAATCTACAAGTGTCTGTACTCACTGTTTACTGCCTGCTTTGGCTACTTCTGAATCCTTACATCGCTGTGCGAATCGAGTAATTTTTGCTCAAAATGTAGGCACTCCTCACCGTACAACATCGCTCAATCCGTCTTTCCTTCGATTAACTGTCTACCGTTCTTGTAATACTCTGCTGTCAGTCGTTGCGTATACTTTTCACTGTCACCTACTTTATCTCAATTGCTGTTCTAATTATGTACAATAACATTATTTGGCATCAGCTGATCTAATCTTGCGGCTTATGTGATGGCACAGCGCTCATTTTGTCTCTGTTATGTGTTCGCCCCCGCTTGTGGAAACCTCATCTCTCTTCTGCTGATGCGTTAGCTTAACTTCACACAAACTGTTTCTCATATGTTGCTAGATGCTATGACAGATATTTGGTGTCTTTTATATCTTTTATTTATGTTCGCTTTCAGATCGGGGAGTTCATCGCAGCCTAGTATTTTGAACGCTAGCTCTATTAGCCATTGCAACACTGATACCTCAGTTACACCCACTACAACCACCACAGTAGTTAGCATAGCGACAAAGATGCCAACTCAAACGGTGCCTCAACAAAAACAGCAACAACAACCCCCGGGACCGAGGGCTACTGCGTCTACTGCAATGCTCAACTCCCAGCCTATTGGATCGGACTTCAAGCATGCATACAGACCCCGTGAAACCGTGCTCACTCTCTATCCCTTCGCCAGAAATCAAATTGAAGAAATGTCATTTGAAGCAAATGAGGTGCTGGAGGTGCTCGACCACCCTGAAGATGATCCGGACTGGTTACGTTGCCGAAACACACGTGGAGACACGGGGCTTGTACCGAAGAATTATGTTCGAATACTCACCATTCCTACCCTCACAACCGTGGCGACCACTGCGGGTGGGTTCGCTCTGGCTCCTCCGAATGCTCCACCTTCAAATGCGGCTAGAGTAACAGGTGTCACTTCCACCACTTTGCCTTCCCAAGGTGGACCTGAAATGTCTCGCGACGAAGGAGAGGAGATTCGCCTTGCTTATGCCCTTCAGTCCCTCACCTCGCGTGCAAATGCCCATCAACCCTGGTGCTGGGGTGCAATCTCACGGGCGGAATGCGAAGCAATGCTCACACATTTTGCTCGGCCCGGGGAATTCATCATACGCGATAGCGAATCACACGTAAGTGCATCGACCGTTTTCTTTGTTTATCTTCGGTTGATTCTTTATTTGAGGATGTCTTCAACTCACTTCGTCTTTTATCCTCTTTTTATCGAAGATTCCTTTTAATTCGGGAAATCGCGCCTACCTGTAGCATTGATGATCGTCGAAGGGTACACAAGCACTATTTCCTCATGTCTCAACTTACGTAGCAACTAAGAGTTTTGCGTATCTATCTCCTGGGTACAACACAAGGAGGAAACTTGATCAGCACGATTCACTTTCACCACTCTTCTTTGAATTGTATTCTGATTGATCATATCTAACCTTACTATCCATTCTCCCTTTTCTTCTTCTGAAATGAAATACACTGTGACCTTTCCTCCTAACAATCTCTTGATGCTCTGGCCTTCGCAGAGAATAATAAACGATGCCCTATCTGATGCATCGAGCAGGGTGGATAGGGGTTTGGATGATACTGCTCAAGCCTTTCCTGCCTTCTTATTCCCCCTCCTGCGCTTTTTCGTCTTTAGCATCTCGTTCCAACTTCACTTTCATCCCCCCGTCTTCAATCCCCCAATTCTTGACCTTCTCTCACCTCGCTTGAATAGTCGCTTGTCTTCTAATTTCAACTCACCCAATCGTAGTGCGTCGCTCCAATCCAGTCGACAAGTCCATGTTCAACCAAGCGGACAACGTCAGTTCCTCCGTTTTCCTTTGGAGTCCTCGAGTCTCGCTAAGATTGGCATGCCTCAACTTGCGCACTTTGCTACAGCTTGACCAACGCGCAGGACTCGCCCGAACCCTCGAGACACTCTCGATCGACATTTACTGTTTATCGGAAACCTGTCTGCAAGATTCGAGCTCCATGCTTACCCTGTGATCCCCCACATGCGACACTGGCGGCACATTCTCATTGCGCCTGTCTGGCGATGATGCAGCTTCAAATGCCGTTCAAGCTGGCGTCGACATTGTTTTTAGACCCTGGGCTGAAGCTGCCCTGATCGACTGGATCCCTGTCAACAGCCAGATGTGCGCCGTTAGGTTGGCTTGCACCTTTTAGTCTTCGAAATCGCGCGGGGACAAACGGTGCCTGTTTGTCATTGCGGCTTACGCCTCCCACTAACTGCAGCCCTGATTCGGTGAAAGATGGCTTCTATCACCAACTTAACGATCTTCTTCGTTGCAGAAGAAGCACGGATACTGTGGTGTTGGCTGGCGATCTAAACGCCCAAGTTGGAAAATTGTCCTCTGATGAGCTTCATCTGGGCGGCCTACATGGTGCAGGCTCCCGTAATGATAACGGTGAGCGATTGCTACAGCTGTGTGAAGATGCTCGCTTCTTTCTCGCGAGCACTAACTTTCGACACAGCACCCGCAGAAGCGTGACTTGGCAGCCACCAGCCTCGGGCCAGCCATGGAGGTAAATCGATCATATCGCGGTCAGTTACCGCTGGAGAGGCTGTGTCCAAAACTGTCGCTCGATTTGGAGCACCAGCGTGGACTCCGATTCCGCTCTCGTGTGTGCCGACCTGCGGGTGCGTTTCGGCGGTCCTCAACGTCGCTCTGAGCGCATTTCTACCAGCCAGCTGGTGAAGCCAGGTGTTCTGAATGCGTATCAAACTACACTGACATCTGGGCTGAGTAAGCGTCCACCAAACACCGTCGAAGATCACTGGTCGCATATTCGTCAAACGTTACTATCAGCAGGCGTGTCTTCATGTGGCAAATCAAATTGCCAACCTAGACATTGTGTCTCTACAAAGTCTGGAACTTATGGATGCTCGCCGACGTATTCCGGCTGCAAGCGAATACAATGAGGCCCGCAGAAATCTCAGCGCAAAGCTGCGTGGTAGCCTGAAGAGAGGTCGCGAGGTCTGGGGGTCTCATCGTAGCTCGGAGATGGAAACAGGCGCTGCCGTTTGTAATCATCGAAAGTTATTCCGTCTGATACGGGAAACAGGCAGCAGGAAACCTGATATTAGCAAGACAGTACTCGACAAGAGTGGGCGGCCGATCCACAGCCTGTCAAAACGCTTGGAGCATTGGGCTGAACACTTTGCAAGGCAGTTTAACTAACCTGATTTATCGCTCTCTCTTTCAGGTATGGAGTGCCCTCCTTTCTGCGCCGTCCCCTTAGATCTGCCCTCACGCGCCGTCGTCGAACGTGAGATCAGGCAGCTGGTGCAGCTAGAATTCCTCCAGCTCTACAAATTCGGTGGACTTGCTCTTGTAGATGATTTACACAAGTTACTAATGGAACTAATGGGGGCAAAACACTGTCCAGGCAGTCTGGAGCCGCTCCATCATAGTCCCAGTTTTCAAAGGAGGCTCCCGTTCGGAATGCGGCAATCATAGAGGGATCAGTCTGATCTCAATTACCTCTAAATTGCTTGCGTCTGTCCTTCACCACAGACTGACTGGCGCTCGTGAAAGCCAGACTCATGAAGAGCAAGCCGGGTTTCGTCGAAATTTGGGCTACATCGACCACATCTTCACCTTGCGTCAGTTGTTGCAGCACCGCTATGTTTATTGGCGACCCATCGTAGTCGTGTTCTTCGACATCAAATGTGCTTTCGATTCAGTCGTTCGATGTGCTCTTTAGGACTGTCTGCTGAGGAAAGATGTGCCCGATAAATATGTAAAGATTATGAAAGCACTGTGCACCCATAGTTCGGGCGGAGTGAGGGCTTATGACAAACTGTCGCCACCCTTAAATATCTCCGGCGGCGTGAGACAAGGTTGCCCGCTATCACCTTTCCTCTTTCACTTCGCTTTTGATGGAGTCATGGAAACAGCGTTCCCAGGACACAGCTTAGAAGTTGTGGAGTTACTTCCTGGTGAACGATTTTTTGACTTGCTTTGCGGACGACATTGCCCTCACATTTTGACCTCGCCCAAGCGTGCCAGGCTGCAATGGACCGATTAGCACTGGCTGACAGTCGTTTTGGACGATGCTTTGCTCCATCGAAATGCAAAGTACTTTTCTATGATTGGCAGGGACCCACCCCTGCGCTGACCCTTAGTGGTGATCAGCTAGTCGTTCAGGAATTCAAGTACCTGGGCAGCTATAATAGTGCTCGTGGAATCGAAGCTGAGATTACGAACCGTATAGCAAAGCTCGAGGTGCTTTTGCCAATTTCCGCCACCTGTGGCGCAGACGCGACATCACTCTCTCTTTGAAGGGTAGAGCGTATAATACAGCTGTCCGTTCAACCTTTTAATACAATTGTGAAACCTGCCCCATCAGGTATACAGACATAGAGAGGCTGGTCACCTTCGATCATCGCTGCCTTCGCAGCTTAGCTGATGTCTGGTGGCGGCATCGCGTGAGCAATGAGCTTGTTCAGCGTCGCGTATTTGGTGCAGGAATAGTGATTGAACCGCTCAGCACCATTATATCACGCACCAGGCTCCGATGGCTGGGCCACATGTTGCGCATGCCCGCACGCCGACTTCCGCGACGTGCATTGTTTACGCACCGGAGGTGCGGTTGGAGGAGGAAGAGGGGAGACCAAGCGATGACTTGGTCGAGAGGAATGAGAACCCTCACTTCGAAGTTGGCGTCGGTTGGTACATCCCGATTGCCTGGCTAGGGTCCTAAGGACGATGAACACGTTTGGTTGGACACACTTACAGATATGGCGATGAGCCGGCCCCAATAGCGTTTGTGTTGTGCGTTCCTTTGTCCATCCGCCTTCCGCTTTGCCTCCCCCTGCAATCACGATCTCATTTGTTTGGCGTATTATAACTCCTTTTGCGGCACGACAGCCGGCTGTTAGCTCTCCGGAACGATGTCCATCCGTTACTGGGGACTCAGCCGGCGTGCCTCTCTTGTTTTTTATTCTTATCTTTTGTATTGCGGCATAATAGCTTAGGTGTTTTCTACCTGCAGCTAACGTGTATAATGCTGATGACGATACTGCCACGTGACTGGCGACGTATATTTTTTTCCTTTTGCTGTTTCACGTTCATTATTAAATAATCCAATGTTGTGTGCCTTAATATGTGGTTCCTACCTTTGCGGCGGAAGACGCCGTTGTAATCTCTTGCCACTTGTTTTTTTCTTTCTCAAATTGTTCGGTCGACAGGTGTCTATGTGTAGCTCACCCTCTGTGACGACCTTATCACAAAACAAGTTGTTACAGGTGTTCACATGGGCCCATGCGGCTTTTCCATGTATGATACAACTCTAGGGACTATGACAATGGCCCGAAGTCTCTGATATAGAAACGATGTTTTGCGGCCATTGTATGTGTGCCAAACGCATACCGAAGCCAGTTGCGTGCAACTACTTGTGCCGACAGAGTATTCCCTTTATCTAGTGAGAACTTCTGATGCTTTGTGTTGTATTACTGTCTTCAACGGTTTTGGCCGGTTTTCCATTCAATAGTCACGACGGTCTATTGCGTATATTTCGCACTGAATGTCGGTTATATTTAAATGTCACCTCTCTATATGCGCACCTCCGTCTGTACCGTGGCCTCTACCTTTTTGATTGCATCCTGCCTGGTAGATTGACTACTGTGCATCACATTTGACCGTCTGCTCGCATTGTTGATGCTCACCGAATTCCACCAGCTGCTTGCATACTCAATTATTGGTCCATCCACTTTTTAACGCCGTGCCTATGTGTCCTATCTATTTTGCTACTGAATCGTTACTACTGAGAACTTTAATCGGAAGCGATCTCACTGGAGCCGCATTGCGGTGTCCGACGAAATCGAGTTGTCCGTGCTCCCCAGTTACTTTCTCTCCTCTGTACTGGGAAACTGTCACAATGTATGATGTTTATCAACAATGCGCTAGTTGTATGGGTATTCATGGTGGCCAATTGGTGACGAGGTAAGTTGACTTTTGCTCTTCTCATGGATTTGAGCGTTTGGACCGACCCCGTTGATGCTTCGTTAGCTCGATCACGTGACCACGGATTCAATTGCCTTTTCGCATATCTGCTCTTGTTTTTGACTCTGTACTCAGAAGTCCTACGTTTCAGACCTTTTCGCCTCCCCCTATTTATACCGTAGTTTGTTTTCTTTTCGTCATTTTTAAGAATGCCATTTGTCGTGCATAGAAAACATGACTAAAATGACTGCCAGGTTGTTCAAACAACACCATATCATGGTATCCGACAAACTCACGGCAAACCTGAGGAAAACGTTGCCAGGACCAAAAGGAAAACGCAAAACCGAAGAACGACAGAATGTCGTGTACAGAATAAATTACAGCAATTGTGAACAACACTATGCGGGACAAACAGGGGGAAACTGTCAACAAGGATACAATAACACAAAAGGGCGTGCGCGAAATATTATACAACCTCACTGGTTTCAACACACGTGGATGAAGAAAGACACGGCTTCGACTTGAACAAGGTTGAGATCCTGACTCGGGGAGAAACTTTAAAAGAGTGGGAGTTTCTCGAAACCTGGTACTCAGTCACGAACTCGATCAATCTGTATATCGACATCGATCCATTATACTAACCACTGAGACAGGGAGGGGGCTCAGGAAGATTAACAACCGCTGTTCGAGGGAACCCAATCCAACACCTAGACAATGCACAGAACGATCGACCTGAGCCCAGACTGCTCACCTACGCCCATTGCACCAATCCGAGTGCGACATACCCAACCACCTCGCAACAACATTTATGCAGCCAATGGTAATTACTCCAGCACCACTACTCAACACAATGAATCACCGATCAGAACGATGCGAATTTCCTAGCCCTGTACGCGTACACAAGGAACGTGGTAGCGGCTGTAAGTGTCCTTCATTGGGTTCGCCTTCTGCCATTTTTTGCTGTCTGACGATGCCACCTCGAATGGTGGTGAAACGTTTGCAATCAAGTTGCCCCGCTCAGCGAACCCTGCATCAATTGGACCTAATGATGTGCACAGTATGCTTCACTAGTGGTTGCTTCGTCGATGAATTATGAGCCTTTTCTCAGTCTCGTTTTTGGTCACCTGTTATGTAATCATGATTCTGCTTTAGATAACATCCCAATAACTAGTCAGCTTGATTTCCAGTTCTCATCCAGTGAACTTTTTCCCAACCTCCACCGGACTCGCTGTTCCATCAAAATCCACAACGCCACCCGGTACTTTTTCCTTTCTTCCATTTATCCAGTAATCCTTAACGTATACGACGCTCTGCTTTTCGTCAAAAACCACAGTTACGCCTTTTTGACCCTTAAATCCTTTCCCTTCTATCTATGCGCGTTCACTCCAAATCTCATATATTAGCGTCACAACTCGTTACCTAATTCCTATTAATAGATCCACTGTAGCTGGTGGTTTGCTTCAATTACTTCATAAACTAGTACTCGAATCCACCTCTTTCGCAATGGCCTGAGCTCTGGCTTTTCACTGACCTCTTCTCTGTTTTTGTCTTCTTCGATCACCGATGAAGCCTTTCGATAAATATTAAAACCGTCATTAGTTTCCGTCACCATTTTCGCATTCAGCATTATTAACCCGTAAAAGTCTGCCCATGCATTGTTTTTTTCTCTCACAGTTTTGAGACTTTATCGTGTCCGGCTCCAACGCTGAGATGTACCATGGCTGCGATGCTATCACGTATCGCTGTTTGTATGTTTCTTTTTACTTGTTAGCTTTTTATTCTCATTACTCCCTCTCTCAGCCGGGAGACCTAACGGTTACCATCAATGCGGGAAACAAGACTCGCAACTTCAAAGTCCATGTTGAACGGGGTCAATGCCTGATTGGTCAAAAGGTGTTCGACACAGTTGAGGAATTAATTGCTCACTATCAAACACATCCCATCTTCAAAAACGATCAAGAGAAGCATTACCTCACTCGGCCATTTGTTCATCCTGGTCAGTCCGCAGCGAAACGGTCGTTCCAAATTGCTTATTCCCTAAATTCCGCGCATTTACCCTCAGATATGCCCATCACTGGGCAGTCAAGGTATTCCTAGTCTACACGATCGCGCTCTGGAGTCTGCTACACCAAAAGAGTGTTTTTACCCTATGGATATCCCCCAGTATTTGGATCGGCAAGACAAGGGATTAACCTGCCCCGCATGTTTCCCTCGTGCGCACACCAAGCGTATATGTGAATTTCCATCTGTTGGCACTGCTCAGCATCACAGTCCTATCGTTCTTCACGCGTTTGACAAATTGCGCTTCGAATCACTTAAGTTTTCCATCTTCCTCATGGATTCCGTGGATCCACCCACTGGATATCTGTTGGCGAGTCTCGGCTGCCAGATGAATACGTCTTCATCAATGTTGCTTGGACATTTCGCTGTCCATGTATGCTCGTTTATTTTCAAAATGCTCACTTGCATCCACCGGAATGCTGCGTTTTTTGCGCGTGTTGCTTCGCTGCATTATGTGCCTTTTCTTACTCTCGCGCCGTCTAACTGGATCGTTTTGTATACACACTCACTACCACCCTCCGCCTACCATCATCATCTCACGCCGTACGCGTCTTCTAGGTGATCTCTCGTTTTCTTTTCTGATTTCTCAACTTTTGTCTATTCGACGGCGTCTCATCCACGTTGGTTTACGCTCTGCGGATTCCCCATTCAAAATCGTCACTTCCATATCAGTCTTCCTTGTTTAAACTTCCAAAACACCGTTTCTGTGCACCAGTCTGTTCATTTTTGTTCCACTTTGGTTCCTTTTATCTGTTCAGTCCTCATCGCCACATAAGGTGGCCGTCTTCCATGCTCATTTCCAAATTTAGCGCTTTTCTACTAGTACTGATCTAGTTAACTCATGTTCAACCCCCTTCTCTCACCATTTTCGTTCGCTTTAGCATTTCGTTTGGCTCTCTCGTTACCACTCTCCCTATTGTCACTGATGCGGTTTTACACTATGGAATAAATTCAAACGTTCTGTTTTATTATTATTGCTTCTCCCCAGGTTTGATCGAGTTTCGAATGCGACTGTATCCAGCACAATCAGCACAGATGCTCCCTGTTCTTTGCTGCCCGTCCATTATACGCATTTGCATTCGTCCAACCCGCTTTTGCGTTGAGTAGGAAGTCCTTCGCGGACTTGACAAGCGCCCCAATCGTGTTAGCAATACTCTTCGTTGATTTTATACGCTTTGCGAACGTCACCGATGGCCTTTGGTTGTATTTTTAGCTGGCTATCATGCTCTTCCTTCTGTGAAGTTTTCATTACACTACATGGGAACCTTTCTCTGGGCTATTTCAAACCTGTAAAACTCGCGATGAAATTCGTATTTTCCCCATGAAGTGAATAACCGAATAGCGCCCTTACCTTCGCTACGTTTTCGTCCTTTCATTTTGACTGTTATGTTAAAGCACTGAGCGTTACTCTTCCACATGTGATGCGCAAAGAAACTGACTGAATTCGATCACCAGTTGAATGTCGCGTTTTGATCAGTCGCAAAACTGCGCTCTGTTACTGCTGTGAGTGGGTAACCCCAATTTAAGCACATGCTATGAGAATTAAGGGCACTTCGTGAAACAAGTTGTACCGTGGTAACCTTGGTTCTAAGTTAGCACTTATAAGTATAATGGAAACAAAGAATCATAGTCATTACACGATAGCTGAAGGTCAGGGACATCTCAACTATTGTGCTGCAATACAAAAAGACGTTATATGAAAAGTAAGATACTAGGTATTACGGAACTAAAAAACAGAGAAGCAATAAATCAGATTATGCATCGGATGGGGGTCGTAGTAGGAGGACGGTCAAAGAATCTCACGACACGACGCCATTGGCGTCGATTCTTCGCCATGTCAACTAGTGTACTCTATCGAATGTGTTCAGCGTCTTTCGGATCCCAGCTCGTCAATCTGGAGGCACTAATCGTGGTCAACTTTTGAAGTGGAGGTTGCAATTTCTCTTTGCTTCCCCTCCTCTTCTCCCATCCAGACTCCGGTCGCACAAACAGGATTCGGGAGTTGGCGTGCTGGCATGCGCAACAAGTGGCCCAGTCATCGGAGCGTGGTGTGTGGTATAACGGTGCTGAATGGTTCACTCACTCTCCCTGCACCAAATACATAACACCGAACACGCTCATTAATCTCTAAGTGTTCCCATCAGACATGAGCCAATGCGCGAAGGCAGTGGTGGTCGAACGCGGCTAGCCCCATGTCTTTCAACTTGATGCGACAGGTTTCGCATTCCTGCAGAAGGGTTGAACGGACTGCTGCGTCGTAAACTCTGCGCTTTAGGGCGAGAGTGTTGTCACGCCGGCGGCGTAGGTGGCAGAGATTGGCAAAAGCGTCTCGAGTTCTTGATATGCGGTTCGTGGTATGATTTTCGTTCCCATGGGCGTTAATATAGCTGCCAATATACTTGAATCTTTGATCGACTTCTAGCTGACCAGCACGCACGGTCAACAGAGGAGTAGTTCCCTAACAATCTTGAGACAGGAATTGCATTACAATGATGTAAAGCATAGCCCCGAATGGCTGACAGCCAATGCTACTTTTTCCAGTGCTCCTTGGTACCTTTGTGAGCTATCACATATGAGGGCACTATCGTCAAGAAGTCCTTCACATGAGAGCAGCTCCACACCTTCTAAATCGTGCCCTGTGAACGCAATCTCCATGACCTCATCAATAGCGAAGTTGAAGAGGAAAGGAGACAGCGGGTAACCTAGTCTCACCCTACTGGAGATTTTGAAAGACGCCACCAATCTGCCATAAACCCCCACTCTGCCCGAACTACACGCGTACAGCGCTCTGGTATTGTTTACCTGTTTCCCGGGCATCTCTTTTCTGTGCAGATAGTCTCACAGGACACATCGATCCACTGAATCGAAGGCATCTTTGATGTCGAGGAACACGACTACGGTGGTCGCCAATAAATACGGCGGTGCTCCACCATTTGCCGTAAAGTGGCGATGTGATCAATGCGGTCTCGGTTTCAGTAAGTCTTTGCAGAACGGTAGATGCAAACAGCCTAGAGGCGATGAAGATCAGACTGATTCCTCGATGATTGTTACATTTCGAACGTGAGATCCCCCCTCCCCAGGAATTAGAACTATAAGAGTGCGGCGTCAGTCTGTTGGGACAATTCCTTGCTCCTACAGCTTCACTAAAAAGTTGTGCAAATCACACACAAGCATTTGTCATCCGAATATTCAGAAGGCTGGAGGAGGTCTATCTGCCCCTGAGGCCTTACTTAATTTCAACAGTCTGATCTCACGTTCGACTTCTGTGTGTGAGGGCAGATCCAAGAGTGCGTCTCAGGGAGAAGCGCGATCAATGGTCGATAAGAAAGCTCGTGACTCTCGCTGCTTAGACTGCTTTTCAATCTGTCCAGCCCAATGCTTCGTGTTTTGATAAGCTGTGATTTGGCTGTCCACTCTCGTCACACAATATCCGGAAACACAAATTCCGAATATGTGAAGTGACTCGCAGTTAGGTGCAGAAATGGCTCCGCAGATACAGTTCGAGAAGTACGAGCTCGTGCAACAGATAGTATGTTAGCACAAAGCATCCGAAAATAAACGGGAAGTCATATAAGCTAAAATGATGATTGCAAATGGGCAGCTCACTCAGTTCACTGCTTTTACATGTGGCCTGTTGCAGTAGCATCGGTCCGGTCTGTACGGACACGTGAAGCACCAGTATGCTACTGCGTCGGTGAATTAAGGATTAACGCACTCCATGTCGACTTCCTTGCCTATTTTCACTAGTCTGATCCGATTCCAAGGAAGATGCATGCTTTCATCTAACGCGCTTCCTGTTTTATGGTACTGGAAAGTGGGCCAGTGTACCTGCGTTTCGACATTTGTTTGACTCCTGTTTCTGAAATTGTGGTGAAGCGAAAAAAGAAGCATTCTTTGCACTTTAGTGGACCAGCATCAGAATTCACAACTCTAGGTTTCGCAGCTTTATATTTCAGCAGCTATTCCCTAAGAAGATCTGGCCAACATTGTTCCGGGTACCTTATAATGGCTACTACGGTATCGTGTCCCACTACCAATCACGGCTCAACGGCATAAGCTACTGGCTTGCGGTGCAGACCGCTGTTGATCATGTGTCCGGATCCTGATGTCAGCCGATGGGTGCGCACCACGGATGAGTCCCGGTAGGGCGAAACGACCATCTAGGAGGAGTGTACCATTCTCATCATTTTGCACCTTAGCTAGAGGTGGAAAACACCTCAGCTACCTTACCGTAATACATAATAAAAAGGACAAAACATACAACAGGTGCACGCCAGCTGAGCTACCAGTAACGGATGGGCATCGTTCCGGAAAGCTACCAGCCGACTGATTTGCAGCAAAAAACATGCAAAATTTATATTGCGCGTTTGGAGGGGAATGCTAAGAGGATGGGGAGGGACGAACTAGTTCACAACACGAATGCCATTAAGTTCGACTCAGCCATTTCAGCAAGTGTATCCAGGCAAACGTGTTCATCGTCTTTCGGACCCTAACCAGGGAGCCGAGAGATTCCAACCGAGGCCAACGTCGAAGTAAGGACCTTCATTGCTCTCGACCAAATCATCGTTTGGCGACCCCTCTTCTTCATCCATCCACACTCCCGGTGTGCAAACAACGCTCCTTGCGGAATTCGTTGTGCTGGCATACGCAACACGTGGCCAAACCATCGGAGCCTAGGGTGTGAGATAAGGTTGTTGAGCTGTTCATTTCCTCTTTCCATACCGTAAACAAGGCGTCGGACACGCTTGTTGCTCACGCAATGCTCCCACCAGATGTGAGCCAGACTGCGAAGACACCGGTGGTTGGACGTAACTAGCCTATTTATGTCTGCTGATCTAATGGGCCAAGTTTCCCATCCGTAAAGGAGAGTTGAACAGACGGCTGTATTGTACGCTCTACCCGAATATGATATCACTCCGGAGCCATAGGTGGCGAGGGTTAGCAAAAGCGCCTCAAGTTTTCGCTATAAGGTTTGTGATCTCGTCTTCGATCCAAAAAGCGCTGACATAACTTCCCAGGTAGTTGGATTTTCTAACAACTTTCAGCTGATCTCCACCAAAGGTCAGCGCAGGAGGCGGTGCCTGCCAATCTTACAGGAAAGCTTTGCACTTCGAGGGTGCAACGCGTAGCCCAAAACGGTTGACGGCCAGTGCTAATCTATCCGGTGCTACTTGGCACTTTGGGAGCTGTCACACATTAGGGCAATATCGTCAGTGTAAGAGTGTACCACGCTACTGCTACCAATCTCGTAAACACCGCTGACTACACGTAGCACCACGAATACCTTAGCGATCATAACTGCGGTATCTGGAACTGATGTACCATATAGCGATTGCGGTGATCAACTTATCAAGCCACTATACTTTTGATAGTGAGCCCAAGCGAACCTTTCGTGGTAATTCGGAAATGTCCTTTCTATTATGCTGTTGTCCTTACATTTTCGCAACTAATGGGTTGCAAATTTAGAAAGAGCAGCGGTATTACTGGTGAAAGGGATGTAAGTTTTCCATGCACTCTTCAAACGTCAAATAACGTGACTACGAATGCAAACAGGCGGTAGCCGTACTCAAAATATAAGATGGCCGATCGTCAAGAAATTAAATGAAATACGTGCGTTATAACTCCAACAGTAAAACTGCTGTTTTCCTATTTAACTTGCAGTCAGCAAATTGTTGCTTTTAATAAACCTGATGAAATCCACCACTTGACAGACTTGTGGTGCCACCGACTTCTGTCAGAGAAGGCCAAGGCGCACTCTTCATGCGGTGCCAACATGTTGCCCGAGGCCTCATCGTTTTTTGACTGCTTCGCCGCTGAACATGAAGGCACCAAACTTGGCAAACACTTGGCGTCTACGGATTTTTTGCTAAGTGGGGCGTTTGAATGACCAATCGGTAGTGCACCCCCCTGTGTATGGTACGACGCATAGCCTAGGATGATGCGAACCATGTCCGGGGGACATAACACTACGACAGAGGTTACAATGAGTGGTAGACGTTCATCGGATATTTTGACTAAGTTTACAAAAGCCGACCCGTTGAGGTATATGCATGTTTAGCTAAGCGGACTTCCAAATGAATTCCTCAACGCATGTGTCACTCAGTTGCTGTTTCTGGTAGGATTCTACAAGTTTTGTAAATATATTGCCAACAGTATAATGCTGGTTTGAATCATTCTACGAATCATTGACAAAAGCACGATGCAGGGTAAATCTGTCATGATGAAGCTTTTGTGTCAAAAGCGAAACGCTGCCTAACAATTGCACCAACATTTTTGTTTCCCGATCTCTGAGATTGTAACAAAGGGGCTTCTGCGGCAGCGTGACGTATCGTTTAAACAATGCATAACTATTTGCAACAGTAAGTTCTCTACCAAATATCATTACCGG